CCCCCCCACACACACACACACTCTCTCTCCCTTTTTTTTTTTTGCTTTACATATCTTCTATATTATCGTTATGAATGTTGTGGGTTCATAAATATAAGCAAGGTTAGCTTAGACCTTTTATCTAAGACGTTATTAAAAACAATTTCCAATAGGTCATGGTATTTTTCTGCAATTTTGAAAGTTCAGGATAGTTTTCACTGATAAAAAAATATTAATTGTAATTTTATTTAAAGCCCATCAAAATACATGGTAGATTTTGTGAAAGTTACCCCATAAATTTAAGCAGAAAGTATAAGGGCCTACAAGCTAGATATTTTATCATTAAGTACTTCTTAATGAAAAACACAAGTTACCTTAATCCTTCATCAACCAGTCCCCCATGGCTACAAGCAGTGAGTACACCGAGGAAAGTGACATGATTAGGAGCAACGCCACATTCGTCCATCTCCTTAAAGAGCCTAAGAGCATCTCGAGCACAACCATGCTGAGCATGGCTAGAAATCATCGCAGACCATGAAACCACATCACGGTCCTCTGCCTCCTCGAACGTTCGACCTGCAGCATCGATGTCCCCTGACCTCGCATACATGAAGATTTGCACATTGCCATAAGCTGTTCTTGTATTGAATCCAGCTTTTATTGAAAAGCCATGAATCTGCTCACCGGACCTTTTCATCGCTAAATTCGCACAAGCACTCATAACACTACATATAGTGAATAAATCGGGTCTTCTTCCAATAGCCAACAGTTCACAGAACAAGCTCAATGCCCTTTCGTGTTGCTCATTAGAAACACACCCTGAAATCATGGATGTCAAAGTGACAATGTCTTTTTTGGGGATAGAATCAAAGCATCTCAATCCATCTTCTATAGAACCTGAATCAGAGTACAAGTCAATAACTGCACTTCCAATGAAGTCATCAGTCTGAAGGTTCATCTTAATTACCTGTCCATGAATTTGCTTGCCAAATTCAAACGCTTCGTTCAGATTGCAAGCTTTTAGAATACTCGAGAATGTGAACTTTGTTGGCCTAATTCCTTCCCTCTGCATATCCAAGTAGATGCCCAATGCTTCCCTTGTGAGCTCATTCAACGTTCCTTCTTTCACTTGTTTAAATGCAGAGATCATGGTATTAAACACAACAACATTGCGATCTTGCATGAACCTAAAAAACTTAACAGCCTCGTGCAGCAACCCATTCTTGGAGTACATGTCAATCATCGTGCTACCAACCATAACATCCATATTGAGCCCAACCTTAACAACAAACCCATGAATAGCCTTTCCAATCCCCAGCAAAGAATTCAGCCCCGAGCAAGCTTTGAGCACGCACCCAACCACGCACGAATTCAAATCCACTCCGCCACGAACCATCCTAACAAAAACCCTAACCGCCTCCTCACCCAAACCAACCCTCTCATACCCCGAAACCAACGAATTCCATGACACATCATCTAGCTCCTCCGAACCCTCAAACACCCTCCTCCCCATCTCAACATCCCCGCACTTTGTATACATCCCAATCAAAGAATTCACCAAGAAAACCCCGCGACCGAACCCACCAGCAACAATCAGCCCGTGGACCACCTTCCCAGTGTCCAAATCTCCGGCTCTCGCGCAGGCGCTCAGAGCGGCCGCGTAAGTGAACTTATCAAGCTTGACATGGCCATACATTGCGTCGATGAACGTGGAAATTGCACGATAGTGGAGACCCGAGTGGAGGTAGGCGGAGATGAGGGAGTTGTAGGAGACTGAGTTTCGATGTGGCATTGTGTTGAACAGGTGGTGGGCGGAGGAGGCGTCGGAGGATTTGGAGTAGGAGTTGAGGAGGGTGTTGAGGAGGAAGAGGGACGGGTTGGGGAGGGTGGGGGATTTGAGGAGGTGGGCATGGATTTGTTTGGTGAGGAGGAGGGAGTGGGCGTAGGATTGGAGGAGGTTGGTGTATGTTAAGGTGGAGATGGGGAAGGAGAGGTTGGGTTTGGGTGGCATTAGAATTTGTTGTTTGAATGTTGGTGTTGGAAAAATATAAGAATGATGGAGAAGGGAGCCAAAGGAGTCGTTTACTCAAGAACAGAAGTTCAAAGTTTTATACACCATCCAGCTTGAGCGCCTAAGGGTATTTAAGTGCAAGTTTCAAAAAGTTTAAGGTGTTTAAATGCAAGTTTTAAAAATTTTGTAATATATAAGTAGAAGAAATGAGGGTATACAATTGCAAGTTTTAAAATTTTGAAGGTAGAAAAATCCTGTCAAAAATAAGTGAGGATATATGATCTCAAATTAGGGAAATCTATAGGGTATTTAAGTGCAATTATTACTCATACGAAAATTTAGTATTAAATGAATAAAAAGAACGGTAGCCGGGGGGCTAAAAAGCGTAAACGTCGCCTGAGAGATTCGAACTCTCGCGGGAAATCCCATGTACTTAGCAGGCACACGCCTTAACCACTCGGCCAAAGCGACGTTGATGGTAAAAGCCTTGGTTGATGATATTTATATTATTTGTTTTAATAAACTTTTGTGTTTGTTCACCATTTTTATGGGAGGAATGCCTCGGTACTCCGAAAATAGCATTTTCATGCTTTTTTAAAAGGAATAAGATCAAAATTGGCTAGGAACAATAGAATGGGTACATTCGATCTTGATGCGGATTATTTTTTTCAATTAGATGGTAATTAGAGAATCTCCAATTCCTCTAATCACTGTTGTACATTCTAAGTTCAATGGACAAAATTAGGCCACGAGATAAAACCACTATGATCTTGAAAACCATTACTTTTCAAAAACTAATAACCGTCGAAAATCACTATCACAATAGTTGAGTCTCATTTGGGCATAATCTCGTTTCTTTGTGAGATTCTTTCATATTATTTCTCTCTCATTTAGATAACCGTTCTTTACCGTATTTTAAGGAGAGTTTAACAAAAAAGTAAAGTCAAATGCTAAAATTATTATAATTTATATAATTATGCACTATCCATGAACATTACTTTCGTTCTCTATCTACTTTATTTTAAAACTTGACTTTTGATCTGGTTAATTAAATTAGCTAGGAAACAAAAAAAAAAGTAAATTGTTTAAATAAAAACTTCTACACGCAGCGTATAAATAAGAGCAGATTATAGAAAGGAAAAAAAGAACAGAAATTTGATAGAATAAAAGTGGTAAATTTTTAAGGAAACAAAATACGTACAGACCTTTTTTATTTTTTACAGGGGTGTCTCCGTTGGTGGGGTTTGGTAATGGAGAGTTCAAGGTTGGGCATGCAGCGGATAGAGCGGCAGAGGTCAAGGTGGGCAAACATGATCAAGCTTGCAAGGACAACCAACACAGCTTCATCCTGTTCGCTTTCGACACGTTTGGTTTCCTTACAGCTGATGCGGTGGAGTTCCTCAGGAGGGTTCAGAAATTCGCGAATAAGAATGTGGCGACAGCAGGGTCCGCTGAGTATGTGTTTCGTAGGTTAGGTTTTGCAATTCAGAAAGGATTAGCGGCGCAACTTGTTGCCCGCTTGTCATCATCACATGTGTAATATTTTTATAAAAATTATTTAACAAGTTAATGAAAAAAAATTAAGAAAAAAAAAACAAAAAAAATATAAAAAAAAAGAAAAAAGAAAACCCGAGATTTGTTTCATGGGAGAAAACCGGAGATTTTGATAAGAAGAAACTATCTTATCCCTTAATTTGTGGTTCGGAGAGAGAAAAATGACTGGAGAGAATTACTAAATTTGCCATCAGTACTCCCAAATTCAGTTTTAAGCGCTCCGAAGCTGTTGGCTTGGTAAGAAAGGAGAGAATAAATCGAGGTAATTAATAAAAGGGAAAAGAAACAAATCACAAGAAGAAAGAGATGATGAGTACCAAGGTTTTATAATTAACCCTGAAAGTTCATTAAAATTAATAAGTTGGGTGTGGAATTTTTCACCCCAACTCCAGCGCAATTAAAGGAAGGGACAAAATTTCAAAACCGACTTGTTTTGAATTTTATTCCTAAAAAATGACTCGTTTCAAACTTAATTTTAAAAACCGACCCAGTTTGCTAAAACTAGGTTGGTTTTTGAAAAAAAAAAGTTCTCAAATTTTACGGGAGTTGAAGTCCCGTGAAGTTTTTTAATATAAAAAACTTCACGGGACTTCAACTCCCGTGAAGTTTGGGAACTTTTTTTTCAAAAACCGACCCAGTTTCAACCAACTGGGTCGGTTTTTAAAATTAAGTTTGAAACGGGTCTTTTTTTGGGAATTTTTTGACAAACAGGTTGGTTTTGAAAATTTATCCTTAAAGGAAGATTGGAGAACGAAAACTCCGGTACTTATTTAAGAGCATGGGCAGCAAGCTCCCAGCTCCGACGTGGCCAAGCTCCCAGATCAAAGCCCCTCCAACAGCCTCCGAAGCACTCCCAACGACCTCCCAAGCGGTGACGTGGCGGCCTCCAGCTTCGGAGCTCCCAAGCGCTCCACAAATTTGTGGAGCGCTTGGGAGCTCCCAACTGGGAGAGGATTTACAAAAACCCCCCTCCAAAATCAGAAATCGGCGGTGGGATCGGAGACTTCGGGGTGGGATCGGAGACTGAAGGCGGAGATGATGGCGGAGATGATGGATGATGGCGGAGATGATGGCGGAGATGATGGATGATGGCGGAGATGATGGCGGTGGCGGTCGAAGAATTGGGTCTGTCGAAGAATTGCGGTGGCGGTGGCGTTCGGAGACTGCGATGGCCAGCTGGGGTTGGGTCGGAGACGATGGTGGCGAAGGGAGAAGGTTTGGTCTGTCGAAGATTTGGGGATGAGGGTTTTTTGGTCTGTCGAAGAATTGGGGTTGGGTTTGTCGAAGGAGAAGAAGGATTTTGTGATTTTTTTTTAAATGGATTGCGATCTTTGATTTTAACCGTCTGTCGAAGATTTGAGTTGTGAATTTTCTTCTTGTTGATAATCGAACGTTGTGAAAATCAGGCTGTTGGAAATATTGACGTTGTGGAATCATACCGTTGGGAATATTGACGTTGTGGAAATATTGACGTTGTGAAAATCCTGTTGAAAAATTTACTGTTGTAAAAAACATCTATAAATTCACATCTCACTACTCAAAATATTTCACACAACTCTCTCATAAAAAAAACTCAATATATCCTTATCAAATTATAAATCTCATGGATCTCTCACAAAACTATTATTCGCATCTCCTTACCGGTGAAGGATCGACCTTATACTCGCCGTTCTATACAGAAGTCGTAGAAGAAGGTAACCCCATCGAGTTCTCGCAATCAGCAATACAACAAGTGTCATCCCAAGAAACACCGACCACAAAGAAGAAGAAGGCTTACACGCGGTCCGAAAATTAGACTGTCCACGAGGATAAGCTTCTTATGTCTGCTTGGCTGAACACGAGCCAAGACGCCATCCAAGGTACGGGGCAACACAAAGATAAGTTTTGGCACAGAGCTAACGACTACTTTATCCAATACTCCACCGATCCAACGAGTCGCACACCAAACCAAATGATGCACCGTTGGTCAACGATTCAACTGTCGGTCAACAAGTTCTGCGGGTGCGTTGCTCAGATTGAAGGAAGACAAAGATCTGGTACGGGAATTATTGACCAGGTAAATATTTAACTTATATGTTTTTATGTAAATATTTAACTTATATGTTTGATTATTCTAAATTTAACTCTTGTGTAGACTGCAGAAGTAAAAGAATTATACCAATCCCTTTATGGTAAGTCATTCGTGTTTGACCATTGTTGGGTTGAGTTGCGTCATCACCAAAAGTGGAGCCAACAAATGGAAAATTACAATAAGATTCGATCACAGCCGAGAAGAACCATGAACTCTGATTCCTCACCAAACAATTCCATGCCAGCGACCCCCATCGAGTTGAACATTGACTCGGATGATGTTATAGCAAGGCCTGAAGGGAGGAAAGCGGCAAAACTCAAGAGGAAACAAAATATGGACAAATCTGAGTCCGCGAAGTCCATTATGGGAGAGGCTTTCGCGTGGATGAAGCAAACCAACAAAGAAAAAATGGAGCTAAAACAGAAGAAACGAGATGACGATATCATGAAGATCGATCTCTCAACACTCAATTCAGTTCAACGTCAATACTTTGAAATGCGTCAGGCAGAGATTTTGGAGAGGTGGATGTCCAAGGGTTCTTCCTAATTATCATATATTGTACTCGCATCGCATCCTCATTAGTTCTTCCTAATTATCAAATATTATCTTGTATTAGATTTATGATTGTACTTGAAGTTGAAAATTTTGGCATTGAATGAAAACAACTACTTTATTAAAAATGAAATTGGCGTAGTACAACAACTTGAACTCCTTTTCTGAAATTACATTAGACATAAAGAAACTTAATCCTCGGCGATGGATCCCTTAAGCTGCCACAGATGCTCGATCAAATCATTTTTTAGTGATTTGTGTGTTTGCGTGTTCCTGATCCGATGTTGATTTTGGATGAACTCAGTTAGAGGCATCGTCTGCACATGAGAAGGTTCAACGACTGGTACCGAATCAGTAAAGTCGAAGTTGTTGTCCAATTGACAATCACGTTCATCTTCAACGATCATGTTATGCATTATGATACAAGCTGTCATGATATCTTTCAGCACACAAGGTTGCCAGAAACGTCCTGGTCCACGAACAATCGCAAATCAAGCTTGCAACATGCCAAAAGCTCGCGCAACATCTTTTCTTGTGCTTTCTTGTTGTTGAGCAAAGTACTTATGCTTGTTTCCTCGAGGTGCTGGAATAGTCTTCACTAATGTGGACCACTCTGGGTAAATCCCGTCGGCGAGATAGTATCCCATATTATACTCGTGGCCATTGACAGTATAGTTGCACGGTGAAGCTCTTCCCTCCGCAAGTTGTGCGAAAACCGGTGAACGATGTAGAACATTAAGGTCATTGTGAGACCCCGGCAGTCCAAAGAAGGCATGCCATATCCAAAGATCTTTGCTAGCTACGGCCTCCAAAATAATTGTGGGTTCATGAAAATGTCCAGTATACATACCTTGCCAGGCAGTTGGACAGTTCTTCCATGTCCAGTGCATGCAGTCGATGCTCCCAAGCATACCAGGAAAACCTCGTTGTGAGCCTTCCTCGAGCAGGCGTGCAACGTCTTCATTAGTCGGTGCACGAAGGTATTCCTCTCCAAAGATGTTGATAATCGATCGAACGAACCTCTTCACGCTCTCAAGCGACGTACTTT